GGCCGATGTCCGATATTCAGTTTTAAGGCCGATACCGATAGGGGGCCGATTATATCGAGCATCCCTAATTTTATTATTTATTCACCGAAACATTTAATAATAAGAGATAAATACTTTCCCTCAGCCTTCTCTACCACCTCTATCCTTGGCCTCTGACTTTTAACCTCTGTCCGCAGGACGACACCAACATTGACAACGCCATCACCTGTTTGGTAAAAGCAATCATGGCTGCAGAGGAGGAGAAATCGTTAAGCGATGCTGTCCGATGCGAGTCTGATGGGGGAGTTATTGTTCTGCCTCGTTTTGACTACAGCACCAAGGAGAAGGGACTCCAGGGCTGCTCAGGGTGCTCGTCCATCAAACCCAGACAAGGAGGCGCTGACTGACGGAGCATCACTGATTGCTATTTAAGGATGAAGTCGTCTTCTAACCTTTGAAACTTTAGAACTGCTTTCTAATATGTTTACTACCTGTCTTTTTGACAAACAGGGTTTTTGTTATTTTTTTAAACACCGATTTAAGACTGATTTTAACAGCTGCCAGAGTGTTCACTATGGATGGCAAACAGTTTTAAGCCATAGGAGAATAAATTGTTACAAAAAGATTACTGTGGAAATCCCAGTCGCAGCTGTATGATGCACAAACTTTTGTCTGTTTTAAAACATTTTCAAAAAAGGCCATTTCTGAACTGTGCAAGCTCATTTTCTAGGAATGCTAACTTGTTTTCTTCAGTCTTTTAATCTGTTTTTATATCTGTGGTCACTTACTAAGTACTTGTTTTGATGATGCCTTTTCAAAGATCTTGTTTTCACTTAGAAAGGTTGTTTTGGAGATGTTTTGTGTTTACCTGCTGCTTGAAGCAGATCTGAATGATCTGCTTCCTGACCTTCCCCAGCACGGGGCAAGGCTTTAATATGGAGCATTTTATACCAAGTAAAATCCAAAGTAATATTTAAATGAAACACCTCAGCGAAACTTACCAATGTCGCCTATTTGGCTACTCTGTATCTTTCAGAATTAAATAAGGGTGTATGTCACTGTTTTTTCCATCTTGTCCAATTACAGTGCTATGCAAAAGCAATAAGGTTTCTCCCATTTGGTCATGTTACAATATAATTTCTTTTGAGGATTGTATAGAAGAGGAGTGACAGCGAAAGCCAAAAGTGGTACTTTTCATGCCACTTTTGCAAAATGGCACATGTCAGTTTCACTAAAGGTCCTACATGGGCGCTGAATGTTGGAATCTGGTTATATTGATAATATATTTTGTTGATATGAAAAGTTATTGTTCATATATGTTGTTCTAAATGTGTGTTGAGAAAACAAAACATTCATACAACCAAATCTTTGAGTCGTGTTTTCTTTGAAAATGTGACTGAATGTTCAGAAAATGGCAGAATACACTTACAGCATGAAGTGGTTCTCTTTCATCATTCGTTTCGGTATCTTACATGTGAGACACGCTCTCGCGCTGTTCCCCCAGACGCCTTATGGCATCACTCCAGTCTCCCGACTGGTGTAAGACGTGATGTCGGCTCCCCAGAGGAGAAGGCCCTTCCTCCTACTACGAGCCCAACAACACGTAATCACATCAGTCTAAACCTCCTCTCTTTCCCAAAAGCTTTCTCTCAGGCGGTAAAGTGTGGTTAACGGCCCAGTTTAACTGTTCATAGGAGAGCCAGTCACTTCACTGGTGAACACTACCTATTACCAGACGTTGATATTTGAGGTGAGTAGCAAGCTTGTCAC